CAAAGAGAAGATGGATTGGATTCTGACATTTAGGAGATGGTAGAATTTATGTGCTCTCAGGGATAATTGGGTATCAGTTCGTCAGAGCTATCCTCTTCAAACAGTCGAGACTCTTGAATGTCAAGTGACTTACCTATTCCATTCACCTGTCGCATATATTCTAGTTCAATGGGCCGATTTGTTCGGCTCTCGATAGAATGCGTTTCCTATCACAAAGTCCTAAGGTCGTCACTCGAAAATATAATGTGTAAAATACGTGTTTGTTTCATATTTGTGAGATGTTTTATGTTCAATTCAGATGAACGTATATATAAAAAAATTCATCACTTCAAAATATCAAATAATCTAGCGATATAGATCTTTCGGATTTCTTTGAAATTTTATGTCGGTGATTTAGTACCTAGATTTTGTCGCCTTCATCGCATCCACCGTCATCTTTCAAGAGAGTCATAATCAATATACTCGTCCTACGGCATATGACCTCATCATCAGAGATAGGCGAATTGTTGTAGCGAATCGGCGTAACTTTCGGCTCCTTTATTTTTACTACCTCCGGGTACCAAGATGTAAACTATCCATTGTTTCGTCCCCTGAGCAATTGAATTCTGGACTAAATAAAGCCGAAAAATACATTTCTCTCGTCCACTGAGACAAAAATTTTCTTTAGCCAAGAATATTTACTAACCACAAGATATATTTGACATTCGTAAGTCTCATGGGAGTATTAACATAGTGATTGCCAGATTTACTAGTGGGAAGAAAATATTCTTGGCAAAAATTCAGTTTACGGTTGCAGCACACATGTCGTGGGGGCAGTTACATGCAGTCAGATTCTTAGAATTCGCCCCCCCCCCTACAGCCCTATGCATGCGACAATAACGGGAGTTTACGGCATTGCTTATTCCAAAAAACTCAGTCCGGCATGTATAGGAATTTATATCCCGTCTCTCACACAAATCGGTCATGTATTTTTTCTATCAAAGGTGTCCTTATCCTCTCCATGAGCCAATCGTATCTCGTATACACCGATAACCATTCAACCGAAAAATTGTTCGCGATGAAGATCGTTTTTTTTTTCCCGCTGCTACAAGATATTACGATTACCCTTTGGTACGTATCTCTTTTCAACCCCTATTCACTGGAGGGTGAGGCTCATAGTGTAAAGTGAAGGACAAAGCTCTTTCTTGCGCGTTCATTCTTCTACATGCACGCTATCGTAACATATTTTTTACGAAAACCACAGTAATAAAAACATTTTTATTGTTTCCCATTGTTTTTCAACTGCCGATGTTCTCGGGTGTGAATTAAATATTCAGCAGGAATGATGTATTTTTCTATATACATCAAGTACATATTGCAAAAGAAGATGATGATTTTGACAATGGAAGCAAGTAAGATAAATCATAGGGATTCGTCACGCCCTGTAGTCTCTTCATCCGGTTTATATCGTGCGCTTTACCAATACAAATATTTTCACCCTACAGCCATTTTCATTCCAATCCACTCAAGCGTGCATCCAAAGACGATTTGTGTTTAGACACGCCCCATATTTACGACGGCGTATAACAGTATGAATCTGTTGCGTTTGCAAATTTTATGCATCACAAGAGGAGAGAAAACCAGATTTAGAAAGACGTAGACCAGTATTTTCACCCATAGGGTTTGACTTAAGACCACAGTTCCCATTGTTTTCAGTTGGCTGAATTCTCCATCTTTAATTCAGCCCAGTTATGCCAAAATCGGATTTTACAATGAGAGAATGGAGATAATAATGTTACATTCGGTCGGATTATGTTTTATTATTTGTTTCTACCACTCGACGGATCGGATGGAAACTGGTAATTTCCGGGGATCTTTGGTGTAACTCAAATGTTTGACTCCATAACACTTCTAATTGTTAATTTGAAATACTTTGTAGAGGAATTTACTAGCCAATTGACGATTTCGGGGCTGAGTGATGAGAAAACATGGGCTGAGGTGTCACTTATGTCAATTTAGGCACCTATTAAAGATGACAGATATGGCCCATGTTTGACATGTGTATTCTAGTGTGACCTAGATAATACATATATATATATATATATATATATATATGTATAGGTATTATATGTAGGACCACAATAGACAATTCCGGTGTGCTGCATTTGACGGTTAATCATCCGGATGGAATCGTTTATCACAGAATGCAGCGGTCTAATGTTTTGGAGTTCATGGAAATTTCTCTGGAAATGATGCTCAATGAGAGAAGACGATGTAAATATAGCCGACTCATGAAATAGAATGTTATTTGTAGAAAATCAAACCTAATTTTTTTAAAAGATGATTTTTAGAAGAAGCAAACGGATATAGAGAGGTTAAAAATAATAATAAGAAAAAAAAGGGTAAATGTGGACGGGATAAAATGGAAGACTTGTCACGCTGCTTTTGTGATTTTAGATCTGGGCAACTTAATAGTTCTAAAAAGGCCAGGTAATCGAATGACAGACTATATAGAGGCGGAGGAGCATGTGGCTCAATTCCTTTTAGGGTGTTAGGGCAATATGGCAGTAATTTGAGACCAATGAGATGGTATCGATGCTCAATGTAGATTAAATTTGCCAGCTTGCCTCTAATCATATGAGCGGTACTAGACCAAGGAAGTGAGTTAAAGAGCGGCACTGATTAACGATCGTTTTGCGCAAGAGACCTTTAACTTTTCATCGATAGAGATCAACAAGGGTGGGTGATGACGGAGAGAGGGAAGGAACCCTCGTAAGCGGATTATGATATAGTGGAGCGTCTGGCGTCGAGCAATCTACTATGGATGCCGCCAATTATTCGACTGCTTCTAAAGTTTACTCTAGAATTTCACCATTTTTCACTCTATTTATTCGATGCATGGTTGACTGGTAGGGATTAATGATTCAGGAGCTTGGACTATAGTCCAAATATATATATCGGTTCATTTGTTTCGAATTTTTTTGAACTATTGAACTTTTCTAGGTAGAAATCCGACCAGTAATGAAAACATTCACGGAATGGAAGTAATTATTTAATCAATAGCTCAACTTTCCGGACGCAAAGCGTACAGATAATTGCCCTGGTCGAAAAAATTCACAATTTATCGAATTAGTTCATAAAAAAGTAGCTCATAATGTGTATAGTATAACCCAACAATTAAAACTGCGATGTATACATTTGTAGAGCAAATATATTGTACTGTGCCATTCATTTCTTAATAAAAAAAAAATTGTACGCCAAATATAGGTTATTCAGGTCACCGCAGAATTATTCATTTTTTACTGCTCACACACGTAGACGGGTATGAAATTACAACTGCTGTCAAAACTTGAGGCACTCAATTCCAACGATCACTACTGACTGGCTAACAATAAAAAAAAAAGAAATCTTTTATAGATTTGTTGCCACTCGAATTACTTGAATTACCTTCGTAGAGGTACCCCAACAGTACTCGCGTTACGTAGAAAGGAAACACCGATTTATGAATGCGAACAGCTCCCATTAGAATTTAATCAAACGTATCAGTACAGCATTGTTCCATTCTGCGTCACTTTACGGAGTCGACAAAGAAATTGAGCCTTTCATAGATATTGTCTCATAGATATTCCACTCTGCACAAAATTATTTGATAAATGGACTGTGTAGGTTTCTAAATCGACTTTCAGAGTCTGAAAACCGTTTTTTGAGGTAACTATTAGTTTAGGAGATACGTAAGTTAATACACTACACTGTGTGTTGGCCCAAGGACAACACATGACAACACAGGCAGATGGATTTTTTCACTCAGTTTTGGAAATTTTCACCAAACTCGGAATTTCGCCTCATCCGACTACCTACATCCTATTACACCCACTAACTCAGCACAGCAAATGATAATTCCTGTGCTACCCTTCTGTAGCAATTAAAAATATATAAATACTTGAGTTAATTACTCACTCGTTGCGTCAATAGCAGTAGCAGGGGGAGGGAGGGGCAAAGAATAACAAGGCACACCAGTGTTTACCTCTAGAGTCTGGCTATTGTTCGATATATTCCTCTCCTTGTTTCTGTCTCCTCCCTGTTCTCTTCATTTTTATTTATTTCTCAAATTTGAGGGGATACGAGCGATTTTTTTAACTTTTTTTTTGGGAGGCTAAACCAGACATTTACCGATTATTTTAATTTTGTTATTCTACCGTTAAATAATTCCTTTACTCCTCCATGTATAATTAATTATGAACTACCACCCACGGTTTATGAAATATTGTCGAGTCTGCAGCGAGCCGGACAATGGTGTTGTAAACGATGCCCCTCGAAAATTGTGGATATTGTGAGAGTTGAGTCGGGGAAAAAAATTAATAAAATAAAAAAGCTAAAGTAAACGGTAGGGATAAAAGAGGAAAATTTAAGGCCGAAGTATGAAGAAGTTTTCAATTGAATCACTGTGTTCGAAGTTATGTGTGCTCTGTTGAGGGACATCTACTGCTGGCCGTACTGCGATTTGCATTTAGATAGGTTTCCATATTTTTCAGAGTAAAATGGTTACTGCCCTACCTTTTCATTGATCGCTGTGAATCCCATGCCATTATTTTCTTTGCTGGGCGCTTAGCACTCTGTCTTCATTTAAAACAAACAAAAAATGATAATTATAATCTAAATTACGGGCCTTGTGACTGCGCTGATGATTAGTGGGAAGCATGAAAATCAATGGTAGTTTTCATTTTCAACATTGCCAATGGAAGCAGAGAATTTCGAATAGAATTCGCTGCCACTATACCTTCTGTAGCGGTATTGGTCGACTGGTATAATCAAATGTGCACCTTGCTCCAATGAACTTAAATCGTAACTGAGCCAACATTACTGAATTGATGCATCATGGTTAATCACAGGATGGTAATGCAATTTTCATTGTAAAATTAACATTGAGAGATAAAATTTGTTGTGTCGGAGATTCGACATGAAGGGTAAATGAATTTTGTATGGGATACACACCGAGGAAGTTTCAAAATATTACACACGTATACGATAACTGTATGGTTAATTTATATTTGTTGCATTCATGGGCCGTATTTGAGATACAAACAGGTCCCAGTACATTCGGCTATCTTGAATAATTTGTCATTGTTTTATAATCACATCTTCCGAACCACTCATAATAATTCAATAAATGTTAAGAGTACATGAATATTCAGGTCTTTGGGTTGCGGTACACATTTTTATGTGAATTCAATTATTCACTCTATTCACAACGCACGTTGATTGTTCAACATTGATACACTTAAATTTAAATATTATTGTTGATTTTTGGTTTTCTTATTGGGATAAGTAGTTGGATACAGCATGGAATACTAATTCTGAAGTAAGATAAATAATTGGTAAGTGATGTGAAAATAAAATTAATCCAATTTCAAGTGACGATTTGGGTTTTTGGAGATTTTGTAATTTAATTGATTTTTTATTCAGCGAAAAATATCTGAAATTCAATTCGCAATACATCAAGGTAAAATTGTGCTTGTGAGACTTTTATGGCGAAATAACGGAAAGATCGCCCATTGGACCCAATCCATGAATTTAGGATGGTTAGTTGGTATTCTTTTCACCTCACTTTTAATGATAGATTATAGTTTTTGGAATACAAGTTGGAAAAAGGGCATTTTTTAAGCATAGAAAAGTATATTTTTCTCACTAGTATGACAAAATTTTGCACGATACGTGTGAAAAAAATTACTTCCTGACGAGTGTAATTACAGCCGTTGCTTCTAGCTCAGTCTGTAATCCTCGTACTCGTAAAAAAACTATTTTTTCCCCCTTATATATGATTCTATTTTATATTTTGGAGTATACGTGTATGTACGGACGGCTAATACGAATAACATACATTAAATCATGAAATAATCATGAAGTATTGACAGAAAATGGAAATTTCGAAATTTATACGAAATTTGTGGCATTCGCAAATCTTAAGATGGCATAAAAATGAATGGCATGTTATAGTGTCAATGATAAAAGAAGATATCCAAATTGAGAAATATTATTTGTAACATTGGTGAATTTTTTTCTCTTGGTGCATAGGCCATTCACCAGTGCAGGCTATCATTTGATCCCAACCTCCATTCGCCAAAAAGAATATCAAATTGCTAAAATGTATATAGACATACATACAAATCAAAGCTAATACCAAACTAAACTTGCTTTTTTTATTTTTTGTTGAGACGCCAACTTTTGGTTCATGCTTGGTCGAAGACTAGAATAATTTTCTTTTTGGAATGACATCATTCTACACATCAAATTTTGCATTCCAATGGAATTTTCAGTGCATAGTTGAGCGCATTGAGATATTTGAGAAATCAGTAGTACATAGTAGTTCATATTTGAAAGGAGCACTGATTTGCCATAAATTACCATAGTACAGTTAAAGCCCAGACCATAAATATCATTAAGCCCGTTGAATACTTCACCTAAAGTTTCATCCACGGGCTACCCATTCGACTTCTAATTTTATTTTCTTATGCTCCATTGTTGTTCTTACTTTACCCTTATAATTGAGAGTAAGTGTGACATTAATAAATTTTTTCTAAACACTCACTTATTGGCGTACATCTGTCCCCTTTAAGAAATAAGAATTAATCCTAGTACGGAGTTATGCATCTCTCTGGAAGGTTCGGGAAAAATAAAAATAGGTTTTAAAATAATTCTTAATTTTGCGTCAACAATTCGTAGGTTGTTAACTTTTTTCGTATAAAAATAAGGAAATTCTCTATATTTATGAAAATCACCTATGGCGTTAACCATTTGATAACGTCATTTAATTATATAATTTTCCAATACATTAGTTATTCGTTGAAGATTTTTTACATACCGATTCAAACGATGCAATTTTAAGAAATGGTAAGCATTGGGCCATATTTTATTATTTCTATTAATTATATTAGCACCTCTTGGATTTTAGTATTCTTTACATTCAACCCATTGATTTCTGGTAGTTTCTATAATACTTTATATATTTATTGTATTATTATTTTAATTATTCTGATTCAAAACTGTACAATTTCCCAAACGCGTGGAACTCTACTTAGGCATTCATTATTCACTCTTTTTTAATCTGATAACATGAGAAAATGGAGCTGTCAAATTTTCCATACTGGTGCAACGATTTTGCATTTTGCATTTTATCAATTCATTTGCCCTGAAATATCCAATAACGCAATTGCAGCATTCGCAATATCGTTTTTAGCTGATCCTGAGAAAAATTTAATCTCCAATTAGGAAAGTAAATTGACTACATTCGGGTTTTTGTAAATTGATGAATAAATTTCTTAAGAAACTGAATGCTCGGATCAATTGAGAAGTTTACTCATTATATAGTCATTCCTTAAAACTTCGTTTCTAATTTTCCCCCTCAGCGTTGAATAGAGCAACCAAATAGCTTGAAGCCAGCGGCGCGAATCGATTGTTTGGACAGATTGCCTAAAGTTCTGTAACTGGAATTTGAACTCGAAACATTTGTGGACATTTGTGGAGATCTTCAAAATAAAAGTTTCCTTCGTTGAAAAAAAAAATCAACGAAAAAAATGAGAAAAATTGCTTGATGATTATCATTATCATCACCGATTATAATGAAAAGGCCCTTCTCTTTAGAACGATATTGCATTTCATTTCACTTCAGAATTAAACTTAAAGAACAGCAATCTCAAAGAATTACTCTGATACTTTCTGATTCTTTGGTCATTGAATTTTTATCGCCTCGAATTTGAAGACCTGAAATATTCCTAAAATATTAAAAGAAATTTACTGTCACTACTATGCGAAATGAGGATTCGTGTTCGAATTGTTTTACCTTTGTTAAGTGCAACTAAGAAAAAAGATTTTATGAAAATTATATTAACAACTAATTGAATCAATAATATGGAGCCAAAGCTATACAATTTTTCTTTAAAAGTATAATGCATGTTCTACATGCAAATTGGATAGATACTTTGGTCAAGTCCGTATAAAATGAGAAATTGTAGATTATGTACCTTTGGATTATGGACAATTAAATTTAATAATCGTTGGTTATTGTAACAGTGAATCAACCCGATGATCCTCCGATAGAATATGTATCATTGACTCTTTCTTAGTGCAATAGGACAATATGCGAATATTAGAAGTGACTCTTACCTTTTCACAATTCATTCGGACATTTATAGTCCTCTTTCTACATAATAAATAATCATATGCAAATTTGGGTAATCTCGTAGAAGAGGGTTGGACGTGAAATAGGAATCTATTTTTCAAAATATAATTTCTTTAAAAAAACAAAGAATTTTACCAGCCCGTTTTCCTTGGCCGTACTATTTTGCTCTACCCTTTCCTATCCTTCCTAATACCTATATTTATCCAATCTATCTTTACTATCTTTCTCAATTTCTTTTTTTTATTTTTTATTTATTATTTTTTCTCAATTTGGAAGTTTGAGCAACGTAACCGTTGAATAACGGCAAAAATGTGATGCGCCGGTATCAATATTAGTAGAAAGTTATATCGAAAAAGATCGATAGTGAAAAGCTATAACTCCGAATACGAAAAGTTTTCTCATTTGGAAAACGATGATGCCATATAAATATTCTCTTGCGCTTTTTCAACTTTCGATCGAAAATTCCATAATCGAAGATTTATTAAGACTTCAGCGACCATTACCTTTTTATTGGAATATCTAAATGTCGACCATATATCTATGAACTTTCCAGAAATAAGCGTAAAATCAGTCCCAAGAGTTGCCTCGCAGAATAATCATGGGCTTTAAACGAATAGAGGAATACTATTACCTGTAGAAATGAATTTTGCACAACGTAAAATTTGTACGCTATGACAAAATTTATAGAAATAAGCCTTCATTGATTCTGGCGGAAAAGATTATATTATTGGTAATATATTTTTTTATGTCAAGTGTAAAAAAAATTATCTCCGTACATCAACTATAAAATTATGTTACTAACTCACCTATCCTGGAAAAATTCTGCGGAAATCCTGCGATCTCCTCCAATAGGTGACATTTAAAATCATGTACAGATAATATATGAATATTTGAGGATGATAGTTACAATTCGATGATATCGGGTGCACGAAACTGCACTCTGGTACAGAATTTCTCAGCCGCCGAATTGCGATCCACTTCCTCTTCATCATCTTCATTGACGTCTTCAAGAATTTTACTGTCCAGGGATACTCGTTTTTGACGCCTTGAAGAGCTACCAGTTATAATATGTTCATCAATATATTCCTTGAGTCGAGCAGATCGCCGTGGTTATTTGTACCTAATTCATAGGGAACGAGAAAAAAATTATAATAATAGAACATGACGTGTGTCTATTGAAATACCTTCCAGTAATGAGAGTTTGACAGTTCAAAATAATAATGAATCATTTACTATTACACTGAAATTGCAAATATATATATAGATATTGAAAATCTATTAATTCATAAGTACACCTACAATTAAAAATATTGACAAAATTGAGAAATATATTTTTTAAATTAATGAAATGTAAATGATTAATTATTATATGGATATAATATATTGGTTACATCGCTAAAAGAACGCAAAACGGATTTTTCAAAATTGTTACACTTTTTAAAGAGGTTTAAAGAGACGAATATATTCTTTTTATGTAGTTTTGGTGGAATTCAACAACGGACAATTCGGATAATTCAGGCACATGTAGCATGAAACCATAAGTGTTTTCACCGGAGGATTTATCGGGAGGAGAACGTTATCTATAGGTAACACTCACGTTAGCCACAACATCGTGCTATTTCACATGGGATCACGCGATTCTATCGATCCGTCTTGAAGAAAACTTGAAAAGGAAATGGGGTAGGTTCTACGGACGGTTGTGTAATCCAGCACTTGGACCGTTGCCCAGTGGTATCCTACCTTCTTGCCAACTCGTAAAAGTAGTTATGAAAATTTTACAGTCTGCTTAGCGGATTTGAAAATTTTATCAAGAAAAAGGCACATAAACTTTATCTTTCAGGCGCCTATTTTTTGCCTGACATGTGGTGAGCTCTCATTACTCATATAGGCCCAACCTGTCGCATCAAGTTTTCACCATATTCACATTTGCTTTAAAATATACAAACAAATGTAAAGAATCATTCATTATGTATCTTCACTCGCTCTTCACATTGTTTTAAACAAAATTTAAAGCAAAGAATATTGGACGAACAGAGACTATAAATGTGAAATTTTTACATTACCTTTCAAACCAAGGACACGCAAGAACTCTACAAAAGGCTAAACCGATAGCTGTGACGACAAGCATTCCAATAGCAGCATAGATGATTCCAAGATGAGTGATGGCAAACACATATAACGTCTTGTGACACCACCGGTCGGGCTCATACATATTCCATGTGTACTCTGGCCATTTGATTTTCAGAATCCAATAATTACCTGAATAAAACAGAAAGAAAAAAAAATTCGGAAAAAAGTCAAAGTCGAAAATCACGGTTTTTTTCATCCAATATTTTACAATAATTGGCTGTCTCTTGGTATTCAATGATCACATATTTGAAATACCGGCATTACTGTTCATCGATCTCTTCAATTAATTTTACATATTAAAACATTGAGTTCCTTGACTCTAATTTTAATATCACGTATTTCCGACCAGGAGAATTTAAAATTATGTAAAATTACCACAACATTTTTTTCACTCATTCACTTGATCTCACCTAATACAAACCAGCCAGTTAGGAAGAGCGTGAGAGTTATAGACACCAATTGCATCGGTGATATATGAGAATTTTCAGGAGGGGTGATGGTGTTTTCAAGACGTCGAGAGCGTATCTGAGAATATAACGCCCAGAACATTCTTACGCTGCCCAGTGTACCTCCCACTATCATGTAGACAGGGATATGTGGCTCCTTCGGACAATCCTTTATATATTGTAAACCTGGGGGAAAAAAAATATTATAAAAATAAAATGAAATTCTCTGGTTTCCTTGCACATAGGACATTTTAATGATCACTGGGCGTCATAAAAATTGAAGGTGCATTGACAGTGGCATTGACAATTTGGTTTATGGTTCCATGAAATCACATAGGCAACTCGTACATCAAATCAAATGTCATTTCAAATTTAATTTTCCTCTAGAGAGAGTGGGATTATGCAGTATCGGAAATTTTCCCAGAAATGCTATTATACATCTGGAATCACGATACCATACCAACTATTCTCACCTCTGCACTCTGCGGTTGAATGAGGAACTGATTCTGTCATGTTGTATCATGCAAAATTAATTATAAGGTATCGCCCAATTCCAGTAAATTAAGTTCTCAACTATAATCGACAAGCTGCAGAATAACCACTGCATATCACTTGCCAACAATTGGCTGACATTGACATTTGACCGGGGCAAATCTGGTGACGGGTACGGCAAAAAAATTCTCTGATTCCATGTCAGTAGCAATATTGTCCGTTCCATCTGGCTAACCGCTTCAAGCATATCCCCAAATTGTCATGGCTGTCATTTTTAGCACAATCCATCACGATGTTTTTCAATTATTCAATTCAGCTGCATTTTCGACATTAATCCCGAAATAATTCCTCAAATAATCATTAAAGCTCCTTTCTTTAATTTATTATTAATCCCCGACCCACTCTGTGAGAGCTCATTGGACTAATTATACATAGTCACAGAGCATGCTCTTGTATAAAAAAAAATTTGTACATCAAGCATATTTTTGATGCGCTATAATTTTCAACAAAGTCCACCCTCATAGTAAAAGCACAGAGTGTGAACTGTTTCACAAATGTCAAAGTACAAGGCTGGGAATTAGAAAAAAACTCATTTCTAAGGATAATCTAATTTTTTTGCGGGACATACGTAATCCCAAATATTTTAAGATTAATCAAGATGTTTTATTTATTTTAATAATATTTTAAATAGTATCATTAATTAATGTGCTCTCGAAGTGCTTTGGAATTCTCATTTCCCCAGAATTATAGATTATATTGTGGCACACTATCCATCGTCTATGACTTAACTCATATCGAGCGAGGTGGCCTCTCTGATAGGAGGCCAGTGGCACAGGTGAAATAAAGTGGGTTTGCATGTTGGCTCAGTGTTTAAGCCCGTTTGGACTGTATGAAGTTGGCGTGTCATAACTCCCAACAGTCGATTATCGCCGAAGGATCGATAATTTATTCGGGCCAAGCAGTTACCTCACCATTTTCTTACGCTTCCTTCTATTTCAGTGGATGCTGAAGGGGAGCTTTTGTGGGGAGCAATGTGCAACGGTATAATTTCTCTTCTAATAATTTCAGTTGATTTTATTTTGCTCTTTAAATTCACGTCAATAACTTATTCTGAAATTGCATCATTCAACTTGTCATTTTAAAACGAGACATTATGCTAGTATTTGTCAGAGAATTTAGAACGATTTTTTCACCTCATTGAGGTAATGGACAATTTGCCCGAGTAGTAGGAAGTGTAGGAAGAGCATTATTATTATTCCATACCCATAATGAGCATCAGAAGAGGCACTGTAGAGAGACACACCAGACAAATTGTCACCACCATTGTTTTGCTAACCACCCTCATGGCTTTGAGAACAAAGTCACAGGTTCCACTCGCTTCTCGGTGAGATTCTTTCAATTGAAAGACAAGTGAACCGTATGTGGCAACTCCCAGACTAGCGCTGCATGCTCCTTTTTCGGTTGATACTACACTCCTCATACAAAGTCTCCGAGACTCATCACCTGAAAACTGAAGAAATCAAATGTTATTTTTTAGATTACACTTCAAAATAATTACCGTCAGACTAGCCTCCCTAACGCCACCCAATTCAATTTTTCAGTTATTGTAGTTCCATTTGTCTCGAGATTCGAATTATACAAAAACATTATTGTTAAGAAACGGTTCAAAAATGTATATTGCCTCAAATTAATTCGGTTAGTTAATTACATTTTGCTAATTAAAAATGCCTCCATTATTTATCCATTAGAAGAGATAGTATATCATGTCTTAAATAAAAATCTTTGGAGTAAAGTGGAAGGAATTGTTTTAATGAGAATAAGAAGATTGGAAATCGCAGCATCGGGGATTGCTTACGTGACATTTCACAAGTACTTTAATTGAAGATAATTGAAAAATTCGTGACCAATTGGCTGTTACGATGAGGTTTCCACCAGAAAAAAAATGTAGATTGTAATGCAGTCGAGTAAGTGCATTTTCTGCAAGAAGTACTTCAGAGCACTCTCGATAATTCGAATTCTTTATAGAAAAAGATATTGCGGTCAAGTGATAGGTGACTCTAATTACATTGAAGTTTTCACAAGTCTGCACTTAAATTTTCACATTGGAAAATATTCGAAAAGGGATGAGAGTATGGCGATGTGAATTTGTGAAGGAATTATTGTATTTATTTTCTCATGTATTCATTCCAGTAGAGTTGACACACGAATTACACTGTTTCAGCAAAGCTGTAAACACAAGTTGAAGGCCAAATATTTGAACGAGAACTACATAGTTCTTTCAGGTAGGAGAGGACGAAGGCGAGAATCTTTCGAGGAATGGCTTCTTCAGGAATTTCCTTTGCATGACTCGTCTTGAAGTCCAAAACAAATTAGAGAAAATAGAGAAATGCATTACTACAATGCCATGGCACGTAATAACAGAGAAAATTCCAGGAGATTATCAACCATGTCAATAGCAATTCCGCTCTGTATTGTCGTTGACGACTTCAATTGAAGTATCGCCATCTACTGAATTTCCTTGAATTGCAAGAACGCAATGAGAACATTGGTTGCCTCATGGAACATTATACTCGAGATGGGCAATACTAAATTGCAAAACTTTGAAATAATCAGAAGTAAAGGCAAAGATGATGATTTGATGGGCTTGAGTCAGCTTCGTTATGGCACCTGAGAAAAGCTCGACTTAAACAAACATTTTCCAAATGGAAGGTCTTCTTGAGAGTTTCGTCCCACGCATGAAAACGAATAGGAAATGAAACGAAAGTTTTTCAGGTTTCAGGCTTTCATTTTTATAAAAATAATACTGACATTAAAAATTTTTTTTTTATATCAAAGCGGTTTATAATGAAAACCAAAAAGTAGTATTTGTAACTTTAAAAAATCAATTCCATAAAGTTGAAAAGAGTTAATTCACTTAAAAACAGAATGTGAGCTATGTCAATAAAACAACTAATCTGATTTTACCTGTGAAACCGAACTGCTGGCTCGTCTGGATTCTGCCCATGCATTTGTCCCATATCCGAGATTTGTCTGAACATTTTGATTCCCACCAGATCTGACACTAGTCGAATTTCCATCCCTCTGTCGATACGGAGAGCTACTGCGATTCACTGCTAATCCTGCAAATGTGTATAAAAATAGACAAATTCATACATGTGTAAAGTGGAATTTTTATCTTTTAATTGCATTGTCTAAAAAAACTGGCGTTTTCCCGGCTTGGCAATATTTTGACAAATAATATTTGGACATATAACCAGGAAAAACACTCAACTTTCGACAAAATGACGAGCAAAGACTCAAGGCTGTCGAGTTATTAATATCGATATGTAATAATCCTTTTGATTTCTGAAGGGAGTGGGACAATTCAAAGACGTCTATCGAATTATTTGACCTCACTGACTATGATATTCGATATCGAAGACTCCTCCGTCTTTCTGAGACCTCCCATAAGTTCACATTTTCCCGTGAGCATGCAAGTAGATACGGTTTAACGAGCACAGACACACAGTTATGAGTCTATAGCGAATTACTATAATTACTTTTTCCAGTTTTATACTTTCGTTCTACTTTTATTTTTCGCTTATATGACAGATTAAAAATAAATCTGGCTTATTCAATTAATTCCATGGGATAGAATAGTAAAGAAAGTAAATTTTACCGGAGAGCCAAAAAACAGATTGTCGTTTCTCTGTTATGAATTTGTATTGTATGTTGTATAGGACGTTAGGAATTTTTCTGGCGATTGTGAGTTAGCTCGATGAAAAGTCGAGGAGTGTGAATACAATCGTTACAATAGATGTTTTCAGCCGAGTGACAAGAATAAATTAATGAATTAATGAATTGCCTTTGTTTTTACGGGAGTTCTTCACACTAGTCGTTTTACCTCCTGCATCAATTATTTCTCGGTATTCGGGGACAACTGAAATTGTGTTTTGCAGTCGAGAGATATGATAGAAGTTATCTCTCTTGTTGTTTTTCATTGCAGAGCTTCTTATCAGAATTATTATGTTCGTCCTTGTGTCAACATAGATCGTTTGGAATTATATTTTTATTAGAGGCAATTTAACCCATTCTATTTCATTAAAAAAAAGTCATTGGAGATGCTTCGAATCTTTCTGTGAGCCCTTTTTGTGAGATGAGTGTTGTATCATCAAGAGTCGCTACTGATTTATAACAGGAGATTGGATAAATACTGACCTTGATCAGCTGAGGCTCTCCGGGGCTCCTGAGGTGTGAGACTATTTCCTCGGTGATTGCGCTTCTCGTATCCTCCGAGACTGCCCCTAGGACTCCGATCAATGCCAGGACCAATACTGCCCCTTGGGCTGCGATTGATGCCTTCCTGTTCTCCACCGGACTCCCGAAGATTTCTATCAAAATCCGGAACACCTATGGATCCTCTTGGTGTTCTATTGGTACCTTCAAAAGGTGAAATGCAACCAGGCGGACTACGTCTACCCTCGAGACATATTGATCCTCTCGGGGAGCGATTTGGCTCAGGCATAATGGAACCCCTTGGACTTGGATTATGATATTCCGAAGAAATAGATCCTCTTGGTGATCTGTTCGAAGATATGTCGGGGCATATTGAGCCACGCGGTGTTCTATCAATATCAATGGGTGGAACTATACTGCCTCGTGGTGATCTCGAAATTTCTGGGCATAATGAACCTCTAGGTGTTCTGTCAAATTCAATATTTACGATACTACCACGCGGGCTTCTCGAAGTGTCTGGTACGAGGGAGTATCGGGAGCTTCTGATGTCCCCATTGTCAGGCATAAGACTATTTCTTGACACTCCAATCGCTACTCCGGGCAAGGGACTGCCCCGAGGACTTCGGTTGAAGGATCCTTCTGGGCCATATGGATTTCGAGGACTTTGAGCTCCATCCGGTACGAGAGAATGCCTTGGACTCCTGGAACCGTCCGGTAACAAACTATTCCTTGGACTTCGTCCGGCATCTGGTACGAGGGAACCTCGAGGACTTCTACAGTACTCCTCGGGAATGAGAGAGTTCCTGGGGCTTCGGTTGGAATTCGGCAGCAAACCACGTGTTGATGCGCACAGCTCTGGGTCTGGGAGAAATCTCCTGCCAGTTGGTTCTTCATCGTCTTCAGCATTGAGGGCTATATTTGGTACTATGCTACTTCTTGGTGATCGTTGCCGGCCCATACCGTCACCGGGAATACTATTTTGAGGTAACTGGAATGGTTTGTCAGTCGCTACGGAGGCTCGTCGCGACTTTATTCCACCAGCCCCTGAAGGACTTCCAGCAGTACCCTGGGGAGAATTTACGACGCTCCGCGACGCCCTCCTGCGTCGGGACGACGAAGTTCTTACAAGCATTACGGCATTCTTTTATCCTGAAAGCCATAATTTTCTCTTTCATTAGAAATAAATAAATAAAAGGATAAGACAATAACGATATGACGTGAGAACACGTCAATACGACCCAGAGTTAATTTATCAAAAAATATGAAGGCTTACAAGATATCGACAGTCACTCCTTAATGTTAATACCTATTTGAAATTGATTTTCCAATTTAATCTTTAAAATGTGATCTGACTGGAATTACATTCACCAAACTTTCATGAGGCTTCTAATTGATTACGAGTGGGTCGATTTTGGGACTTTCGATTGGACTGTTTCGTCTCTAGTAGCCAATTCAATGTCTTAAAATCGACATTGATAAAGTGGTACTACGATTCCCTTTTCTGCGGGATTGGAAGGAAGTACATATCGGAACACCGCCTGATTAAATTCACCAAGTGGCACCTTCAAAGACACTTTTTTCATGACCTTAATGGTTTTTTTTTCGGTTTGAAGGTTCCTTTATATTTTTATAAAACGTTGATACTCAGTTTCACTTAATTTACGCGGAGAAGAGAGGAACTGGGAAAAGTTTATCATTATTGACTTTTATTCTCAATAATATCTCTATTCCTCTATTGACTTCACTTACAATAAATTGAATTACAATTAATTGTGAATTTTTCAAAATACATCTATCTGAACCAATCGGCTGTGTTCGGGTAAGAAATTCTATAATCTATGAGTTAGAATGTAAGTGGCAGTAAAAATATGGAAAATCCAATGAAAAGGGCGTGAGTATACGTACGATAATACGTACCTCTGACGTGGAGTTTTGCCAAAGGTACACGAATTCGTTCCATGAGGTGTAATTTTTTCATAGAAATTGACGAAATACAACTGTTACTCGCATATTACGAGTGTAAGGTGTGCGATAAATTAAATATTCCGAAACACTCGACGTGAAAAAATATTTAGGTGAGAATTTGCAGTGAAGGCCACATCTCAGGTGGGCATCGTCAAGCTATGACAGTAGGGCCAAGCTTGGTCCAGTTTTGGCGTATTCAGCCTTGGTACATCTACCTCGGTTCTGGCTTATTCCAGTCAATATACCGGTCTATCACCGAGCCTTGCATCCAAGCTGCCGAATTTTGGGATTGGACCAGTCCCTGTACTAGACTGGTATCCAAGACTTGGTATTGTCAGGCTTATATCAGTCTCTGCACAAAATTGGTATCCGAGACTTGGTATTACCAGGTTTGGACCAAGCTCTATCCGAGACCATTCCCAGGGCATGATACATAAATACATACCTACTTTTTCGCATTGAGACCAATAAACATTGAGGATATGGCTTGTAATGGACGTAAATCAACTGAAAGGGTAAGGAAGTACCATTATATGAAGAAAATAAAGGAATCTGGATAGAATAATAGTTTCAATGGTAGTGGTGATGATGTTTCACATGAACAAGAGAATATCAGTGCACGCAATTCATAACATACTAGTGACGCTGGAAGTTTCTTAGAAGAAGGACAATTACATGAATCAACCAGAGAATGTAATAGAATCAATAATTGATTGCAATGAGCCAGAAGTACTCTCTCCAGAGACTCCATCCATGGAGCAGCAGGTACGTCAATGGACCATTGATAATATCAGTTCAATGAAACTGAAATGTGTCACTCAAATGTTGAGACTGCTGATTAACTTGGAATAAACAAATCTACCAAAGACTGCGCATAAATCGTTAGATTTTCGCCATAAAATAAAGAGGAAAAAACCTGGTTACTCTTATATGTGTGCCTAGGCATCAGAGAGACAACGAGAGGACAGTTATGTGGATGTTTATTTCAAATGAAAATAAGGCTCGGTATATATTAATTTATTAGGATAGGTAGACGCAGAATACCAAGATTCACCCTGACTTGGCCTTGGCTTGGACGATTCATTTACCGAGATAGGTACTAGCTAAATATTAGGGTTAAGGTTGGCCCAAGTTAGGTTCTACCTTCGGTCCTAGTTTGACCTCGTGTTTCATTCCACTATTAGTCCAGACCAGACTGTCCACCCTTGGCCACGCCTAGCAAGTCTTGGAACTAGCCTGGGCCAAATCTGGGCCATGTCTGGGCCTATTGTTAATTCTCACCTGAGCATTAGGTTGCTCCATGTGTTTACTTGAGATTTTGATTGAATCATTCAACGATGAGTGATAACTGCATGATGTGGGCTTATTCATCATATTGACATTTCAGGCAATCATAAAGTATTCACATCGAAAACTAAAAATCCGCACGGAATTAAAATGGAGAGATTTAAATGGAGAGATATCAAATGTACTAAAATCGTTTGAAACGATAAGTTTTTCAATGAACCCATTGGATTCATATTTTCGTCACGTCTGATCAGATATGCCTTTGTTTTTCTCGTTGTTTGTTTTACTCGGATGAAGGGGAAAAAAGGATATTCCCACGAGTTGTATGTTCCATCAAATTCGTGAAATTTCACACTAGTTAGTGCTGTTTTCCATTTTTAGAGCAATTGATTTTTTTTCAGATTGGTACCATTATAATTTTTTGAAGCTTAATTAGGAACAGCCGGTGACTGAGTCGTAAATTCAGTAAATATCCTTAATCAGGTGACGGAAAAGTACACACTGCCTTATAGAAGATCTAAAATTATTTTCTAGGGTTATTCTAGACATTTACCATAATTATTCACTTTATTGTACTTTAAATATTTGAGGCTGTATGGAATATTCTCTTTTTGTAGAGAAGCTAATCGAATTTAAAATGTGAAAATGAAATTTTTATAGAAAACTCCCAATATGACCTTTTACTACAGAATTCAATTAAAATGCAGAAAATGGTCCACATATACGTTCTTTTAACTAAATTTACTTGATGGACTTCCATCGATGGACCCGAAGATGTTGCAAGAGTGGAAGGCCAATTTTAGTAATATAATTTTGGAAATAAAGTCTATTTCCTTTTAGTCCAAGAGTTTTCCTACTACAAAGAAATTTCATTAATTTACAACATTTAATATTGGGCTTGGAACAAATTTCCCCGTAAACGTCGATAAAATGTGCAAAACCAGCCATTGTTATTGGTATTTGATTTTTTTCTGTTGTTGGAAATCATTTTTTTTTAACCAACAACTTTTCTTGTGAATTGAAAAAACCGATTGGAAATGCTGGATCGTTCGCATAGTTATTTCCAAAGACGTGAAATAGTACCAGTCTCCACACTTTAATTGTCAGATACATAAACCCCTTTCAGTATATTCTCTATTATTTTTTCCATTATCCATTGTTATAGAAAAGAAGTTTAGTTATTGTGCATCGCGTCTGAGGAATCCGTTGAATATAGTATTATTACGTTCTATATAGAATATGAAAATTCAAATTTTACCTCGGGTAAAAGAAATTGTCTCATTGAAAGATTGCATTCTGGCCCATTTTGAGATTCTGTATTTATGGATTTCATTCACGTTTCTTATCTTTATATACATTTTCTTCCTTCCAAGAAATTATTCATTGGCATCGAGCCAATACTTTTTTTTTAGCAATTATAGATATGAACTCTAATCCCATATCTGTATTTATAGCAATTTATCAATATTCAACGTCCGTTGAATTAGATTTTGAAAAAAATACTCTTCAGATTTTTTTCCGTTCTCTCATTTGTATTTGGATTTCGGTTGAAATTGCTTCCGGTCTGTTCGACCAGCTTTTTCATTACTCTATTTATCTATCACCATTTATCCGTTTCTTGCAGTTCCATTACCATATATAAAGATTTCATAATAATTTTTTAACTTTTTATTAGTCACTGGAAACCGGAGCGGAATACCGGATGGAATTAATTTTTCCATTTTGTAATGGGAGATTTGATCACAGAGCTGATGGCTCGCAAAAATGATTCAAGGGTGTGAGATTTATGAATTGCATATTATGGGATATAATTTCGAATTCGGTATACAAATTATACATCCAACTTGAAACATTCAGTTTCGAAGGTGGGGGCACAGCAATTAACTGAGTGTAACTAGCACAGGGTATTCGCGATATGTATACTAAATCCAGTTTGTTTAATACTGATGCTCGAGTATTGATCTTAGAATTTCGATGAGCCTGAGATGATCATTATTAATTGCTATCTGAAATGGTTGGATAGTCAATAAATACATTACATGAGGAGTATACGGTATATTCAGTAATACCTAGTCTGTATGCATTCAAGTTGTAAGCCGGTTAGGCATAATGTCCAATTTTTTAAACAAATTTTTCGACCAAACTTCCGGTTTACTTGTGATTTTTTTTATTTTAAAAAGTGTGGATCTCGGACACTTTCCACCTATAGACGCGTGTAATTTTTCCAAACCCAATATTCTCTCGAAATTTTTCAAAACCTTCAACAACTGTTTATTTTTCCGATCGGACCTGCGTTTTTTGTTTTTTTATCAAAAATAACGATACAGAATCCAATGATTATAAAAATGAATTATTCCCCCAAAATGGCATAACGGACTGATAATGTCATTAATTTTTTCTCATATGCAAAGAATTGAATGAAAAAAAAACTGACAGGCAATTATTGCTGGTGATTGATTGAGCCATTTTTCTACAGAATTATATTTTTTCACCATTTTTCCATCAACTTTGCAAAATGCCAGACAGATGAATGAAATAAATGGTGGAAATTACTCGTGGAAAGTAACATGAAAGGTACATATATTCTCTTTAATGGTATTTTTATTTACCATTTTTAATCCACCATATTTTGTTGCCTCATAAACGTAATTTTCATTCAGTCTCATATTGGCAGAAAGGAGGAAATATACTACGTTGAAAAGTCCTACATTTCATTACCCTTATTCCCGAGTGATGAGAGCCACGATTTAGACGGTAATTTCAATGATGGAATTCACATTACTCAGAATATGAGATTTTTTTTGGTTGATTACTTCGCAATCTAGAACAACTCGGAGTCATTCCAAAACAAAATAAAAAAACTGTAATGTAATGAATCAACAAAAACCCTGAGTAATTGCCGGAAGCATAAAACTAGTAGCATTGCAACTAGTTGATTCCATTATTTATTATTACCTCCCACCAAAGAAATACATACACTAAAACTTGAAAACAATAATATAGAGGACTCCATCATTTCTGTATCAACCCCGTCTTCGCGAGCTCATCCTAAGCTCATTCGGACAGATAGACAAAGAAAAAAAAATCAGTGTCAACATTTTATTAAACCTCAAAAGAACCTTGGTTGCTAGTTTTTCTACTCTCACAAACCAGAATGAATTTTTACTTCAGAAAATTCTATTGGGCCGTGTAACGCGACGGTGGCGAGTAATACGTGACGTCCAAACACTAGTAAAATTAAAAACAAAGACCCAACTGTAACTGGACTTTTATAATTGAATGCGATTCACGGGGAGTCCGTGCAAATCGGGAAAAGCCACCATAAACTTTTATAATGAGCTCTAAAATAAAATTCATTCTGTACACTGCAATTTAGTTTCAGGCACCAACTAAATTTGCAAACTATCAACTTTGCATTTGAATTTCATTCCACATCCGTTAATTCGCACCACAATAATAATGATAACTCGAATTTCACGCGCAGTGCATTTTCTGTACAATAGAAATAATTGAGCTCCCTAATCTTCTATCATGCGATTACGCAATAACAATAACAAAACAAAAAGTCAATGAATAAGATTAAAGCGAATGGTTCATGGAGAGATGACAATAAATTAAATAATCAAACTCACCCCGATGTGGGGTAGTTGAATGCGTTTATGTAGCATAAAACATTTGGCCCGCCATACCAGCTTTTGGTAGAACGAAATAAATGATGGGTAATTGAACTCAACGATCGACAATGTACATCACAATTATTTATAAAACACACAATTATTCTAATGCCATAGTAAAAACACTTAATGACACTGATTCCAGCATACTCCTAATATTCTTATCGAGGTACGGTGGGATGATTGTAGGTTTTTTTTTTATTGTCAGGGTGATAAGTAAGGTGTGATTTCTTACAGTGGACTGGAATCTTAGGAGGTTGGTGCTGGCAGTAGCACCAGGGGTAAACTGACAGCGAAATACTTGGTAGCACCCCACTCGCCTGCTTCCACGTTACTGAGCATTTCACACATACAGTTATTGGCCAGAGGCATTCCAGCGTCAGCGCAAAGGATTCCCTCCTCACCCAGTTACTGTTTTTACCCTTTTTTTTTATGATCTTTTTTTTTACTCCACTTCAGTTTTCAACTTTCCCACTTCAAATCATCATAACCGTTCTTCATCCATCCATCACTCACATGCCCTTTTTCCACCACCAGAATACATCCTTTTTATTCTATCAAGATTCCCACCGGTAGTCAGTTCTGGTATTGATTTTTTCTTTTCAAGAATAATTGAATTTTGGTAAATGCGTAAAAATTGTGTATGTAAAAAATTTATAGCAATCATCCGTCTGGTATATGGTATCCGCACAGGAATTTCATGTAAGAATATTATAGATTTATTATCTGTTGTCAATTTTTGTCGCTCCGATCATCACCTTGCTTGATTACATTGCGGATCGCTGCGGTTCTGATGCAAAATTTTGTCAAAACCTTGGCAAACTGTGGAAAAAAAGTTTGTTAATATTGGGAAAAAAATTATGGATGTTTCACAAAAACTTTGTAGGCTTGAGAAATCTGCTTTCTAGATTCTACGAGACTTTTTACCTGCGAATGGAAGCTTTGTAATTGACCAAATTTAAGTTTCATATTATTTATCATATGTCAACTCATAACCCAAGAAGTTCGAAAATGCTCACTAATGTTGTGAGACTTACCAGTGCCATATCAAGACAGATGTAGCTATTGGCATTCCCCAGTTATAAACCATCAACAGTATTATTTATCTAATAAATTTACAAAGGCTTCGATTCACATGCCGGATATTCCACCTACGCGGGATGTATGAGAGCTTTGAGTTCGATATTTTATTTCGCCGTGAAAAATACTATTACGAAAAGAAAGTCCTTTTAACGGATGTCGCAGAGGAAAAAGATTATTATATCACTGCTAATGGATGCGGTTTAACAGAAACATGGAAAGTCCTTCCCACGCACCTTCATTATCACCAGAAAGACATTGATAAATCCAATGAAAATCCCTCTAGGTAGTTGTCAAAGTACAGCGAATTTCTATAGATCTCTGA